ATCGGCATAACAATCTACACAGTGATTTTGAGCCCCCCCCCAGGAAATTGAAAAAAAAAACATTCTACCTCTGGCCAAACTCCTTTCACTTCTGGGCAATGTTGCGCAATGAAGCCTTAATTCATAGAAGAGAAATTACATCTGTCAATGTTTTGTCGAGTTTTGAAAATTGCACGAAAAAGTCTCAGCGTGATACAGTGAAAGTACCCGCTGCGTATACTAAACAAGCGGCTGATAACGAGAAAGTCTCATGAGACCATCCGCACTGCAAAAATGGAGTAAAATGTTATGATGAATGAGCAACATGAAGAATAGCACACGCCAGGGCCATTTTGTAATAAGCCTCATGATATGCACGCACGTACTTGTGCCGCTTTGGCCGTACAGGATTATCAAATGTGCCTCAAGCGTCAATGACGTCATTATGACTCAGAACAGACAGCTGACAGCAGCCAGGCAGAGGTTGGCAAATCGATACCATACTCATTTGTACCGGTTTTCGAGCTAATCGATGCCCATGCTCATTCTTACCGGTTTCTCTCCATATACAAGAACGACGTGAGTGTCATTCAAGATATATACGCACAACAGTAAAGTTCAAAGCTTCCCCGTGACAAAAGCCAAACTAGTCGGCCTAATTCGGTCGATTCGAGATTAGACAACTTTTTTGTAACGGTTCGTTCACACTGACCTTTATCTCATGGATCTAGAAGTCCACCCGGTGGGAGGTAGTTTCTATCATACATGTAGTAGCTCTTTTCACCGATAATGAACTTTGCCTTCGGCATGGTCCATTATCGTCACCAAAGCTGACTAGAAAGTGAAAAGCCAAAAATGTAATCGAGTACTTAAGTGCGGTGTAAAAACAGTGTCAGGAGTAGGTGTGCTTGTTGTGCTGAGCAACTTTAAACACTTTTAATGCATTGTTATGATAAACTTTTCCGTCATCCTCCTTGTATCATTGTTTTGGATGACAAACAAATCAACCATTTGATGCATGAACCAATAGGGATGTAACTCAGTACATGCCCATCAAGTCACATTGAAAGATAAATGCATAGTAACAAGAAACCTTTTTCGAGTTTTTGAAAGCTTATAAAAACAAAATATCGCTTCCAAAGTTTTAAATGATTTTAAAGGGCAATAGTCACTGTACGCTAGAAACAAACATGAATTGTTCAAGGTGGATGAATGAACTTCAAGTCCTGAGTCTGTGTATGGGTAACACTACATTATTGAAATTCACGATCTTCAGGGAAGAGATTCCTCCGATTTTTCTCTCTTTGGTAAGCTTTAAAACGCAATAAAAAAACTTCAACGAAACTCGCTGTGAATGATGATTTGATCTCGATAATTTACTAATGTGGAAACTGGTTCTTGTTGTGTTGGTACACTTCTTTCATAGAATTGTGTATATTGAACATGCACTGCATGTTTGATATCCAGTGTACCGTGATGCATCGCGAATGTCAAAACGGTTTATTGCGTTCGTAACCTTTTTAAAATTCTTATAATGCTCGTGTGATTTATGATCGAATTTCTACGTCGTAGCGAACGATATGCCCCCAACAATTTAAATGCCTAAATCTCAATTCAAGAGATTATATTCTTGTACGCTTACAGCATTTAATTCACACCTCCACGGTGTCCGAGACATGCCAAGAAGATTAAACCTACTCCAGAGAACAATCATAATGTCAAAACAAAGTTTGGCCGGGACGCTGGGAATGATTTCCTCGAAGAGGTACCAGCTCCCTATCCTTCCTCTGCCGACGCATCCGTGGGAACACCGGTGAAAGATTAAATGAAGGATTCGTAAGAGTACATAACCGGATGAGTTGGATAATCCCACATGATCGGGGGTTTATCAACACCCTGGCAGAGCCATATTAAACCGTCATTTCAGACTCGTGCAGGCGGGTATATGTCCCTGACAAGATACTGGCTAGAACACAGGAAAGGCTCATGGGAAAAAATGTGGAAAAAATTCTTTCCCCGAGCTGTCACTCACGTCTATGTCATTTTTGGGATACTTACACGTTGTCAAAAGAAATACAGGATTCATGGTGCATTTAATCAAGTGTTATGATAAGAAATGTAATTATTTACGGAATAAATACTCAGCCACAAGATTTTCTCTCCATCTCTGAAAAGTGCGTCCAGATGCAAAAGTTCAGTGACCACCTTGCTTTGTGATGTCATCGTTTGAGCTCGATAGTTGCTTGTTTCGACTGAACATTGGAGATATCACGTTTTTGTGTAATGCATTCAGTTTTCTTGGACTACTGCCATTTTGTTAGCACAAGTCGGTTTTCTGAGTTTGACTTTTTCCAGACATGAAAACCGAAAACCCCATTTCTTATACATGTTCATGCTCAAGCCACATACTCGTTGGTACATTCACCATCACGCAAACATCGCCCTGTATGGAAGCACGCGTGAATAGATGTCGGCACACGTAATCAGTAGTATCCTAAACTCAGAGTTTCATCCCCAAATGCTCTGTCGACACTTTTTACAAAATGTGAGTCTAGACGACCGATATATTGTTCATGAAAAGACCTGCTAATTGACACCTTGTCTGTTGAGTTCCGATTTGCATCATATCGTACCTCAAAGTTCCTTTTTCTTTTATTTACTTTAGAAGACAATAATCGTTTATTATCTCAAAATCAGTCAGTGGAATTGCAACATTATAGCCTCCTTGGTGATGCATGGAGAATTCTGATTTTGCCAAGGCACAGTAAAATTCGCCAAGAGAGACTTCTACTGTGTGACAAGATATAGCAGAATATATTTGTTTCCAACTTTACAACAACTAAACATCCCATAATAATTCGTTGTGGTCACTCGCTCAGTCTTTGTATCTCTTTGTAGTAAATTAAGTAAATGTTCATGTTGTATCTAATACTTTTCTTGGTGTCCTTTGAAGTAGCTGAATAAATGAGTGCTTAAAATTCGTTGTCCGTTTGGAGAGAAAATCAGTATTTTGTGCACTCATTTTGTCATCCATTTGTAGGAATGTAGCAAGAGTAATGTACTTGTGCGTAACGTTGTTCAACGGGTGTGTGATTGCTGAACCAGGGTTTTAAGCGAAGGATCAAAATACAAGTCTGGGTTGCAATCATGATTGAATAGTTCACTGTTTCCTAATTCTGTGGCTACGGGTGTTTTTGTACTTTTTTGAACGAGGCTTCATGTATATTCCTGTGAATCTTTGGGTGAGATCTTACTTTTGTGCTTGCAAGTTTTGTAAACACAGGCCTGACCCATTAGTAACCCTTATGCTTGAAGAAGCGACAAATCCTCTAGATTATTGTATTCTTCATGCTAATCCAGCGACTAGGGGCCTCTATATGCAATCTGGTTTTCTCTGCCGTTCCTCGGAAATATTAAGGCGCGAGCAACTCCCCCTGCGATCAATCAACGCACATTCATTTATTAGCCACGCGACATCAGGCGAAGATTGCAGCGGAGTTGCTCGAAGAAAGGCCGCGATTGAGTGCATGGTAATGGCAATCAAACGTATATCAATCAACCGGTGGAAAACTGGGCCTTCCTCTCGCTCGTCTTGCCACACGCAATCACACGAAATTGCCCAACTGTAAAAGTAAAAAGAGAAATATTCTCATGTTTCCCTCTTTTCCTGCTCTTCGGTTACACCACCAAGCCAAAGGACGAATTAAAAGGACGTATTTTCGTGGATGAATGAGCCAGGGAAGGCTGGCATTTGTGAAACGTGAGATCAGCGTGATTTCAAGTTTGTTTTGAAGAGTTCCAGCTTTGGTTGGTTTTATTTAGTTGGACGCTTGTCTCTCTATTACCAAGATTCAAGAGAGAGAAGAGAACATGTGGCTGTGGCGCCTTACATCTGAGGAGTTATTGTCTTCAAAATTTCTCTCTCAGCTACTCACACCTGCAATCCATATTGTACACTTTTCTGAATGCGGCCATTTTCCTTAAATACGTAGAGGAACTTTGTTTTCACGAAATGCAAACCTATGAAATTTGTAATTAAAAACGCTCCTGAAAACGTTGACTTTGAAAGTTCGAGTTTTACCTTTGCATGTGAACGATTACATTTCACTGACAAAATTTCTGCACTTCAATACCACGGAAGAAAAAGAGTTTGTTTACAGGCATGTTGATACAGCGACAAACTGATACTGAGGAACATTCTCTTATGAAATGAACTAGCGCGACAGTGTGGTAGGAACTCCATAACAGAGAAGGCTCACTGCACATGCGTGGTAGAGCCAGCCAATTTAAAGTTTCTGCAACGACCAGCTGCATCTTGCGCGTCAAAAATAAGCGGCCGGACTGGCAGCCCAAACGAAATTACGCTCGCCTTTGTCAAAATAATAGCGTTAATATCGACGATGTGCTCGGTAAGTGTTCACGTCATGTACGGCCCTCGATCATGCTAATCAGGTGAAACTAGCTCAGGGTACTTTACGCATGCTGCAATATTTCTCGCTTTCTGGTCGTAATCCTGACGTGACATGCGTTGGCAAGGATTTTTTTTTTTACTTTCACCGAGATGGTTTTCGGAGATAGGATAAAACGACTTGGCAGCACAACCTGCGAGCATATTGTCAGTGGAGAATCAGACACATCCTTCCTGACAGCTCACCTGTACCTGTTACAATTGTTGGCCTCGGCTTGTCGGCATATGCTGTGCATTAAGTACAGCCATGGCAGACGAAGACGGGCGGTCATCCCTGGCCCACGAGCTCAACACTCTCAGAACAGACATAAATAATCTTCTTTCTTCGATTGCTTTGCTTACGCAACAGATTTCACAGGTTGGAACGATGCCGTTTTAGAATCTTTGAAATATGAAATCTGTCTTAAGCCGGAGTATTGTTTTACTTAATTCATGAAACTGTAAAAGTTCCCGCAAATTACCATATTCTACAATGCTGTCAAAGGGCTCAGAGCTCGTCTGTTTATCTCTTTGGATTGATTACTGTTAACTATTCTCTATCTTTTCTTTTCAGCAAAGACCCATTCAGAGGTCCTTCTGTACGACTCTGCGAGACGAGACTCACTGGAAATGTCTAATCCTCTCCTTGCTTATGTACGGTAGCCTGACGGTCATTCTGTGGTGTGAGCTGACCACCGTGGAAGTGGTAGCCTACACATACCGAGGCAGTCCGGTTCCTATGCACGATAGCCCCTGCGAAGATGGCTACATGTACATTCCAGTGGCCTTCCTGGTTCTTCTCTATCTCGTCTACCTCTTGGAGTGCTGGTACAGCGAAATCAGAATCGAGATCTTCTATAAGGAGGACACCAGGACGGTCTATGACCGAATCCGCCGGATACGTGAGTCTTTTCCCGTGGTATGGTGGAGGGCGATTTCCTACCACTACAACAGACACACTCGACAAGTGACTCGCTATCGCCATGGGGATACCTACACCACCACACAAGAGTACTTCGAGCGGATCAACACTCACTCCGCGGCCAGTGCGTTTGACTTCACAGAGTGTGGGGTCAAGGACGTGTCCAAGCACCTGATTGACCTGGAGGAGTTCCCTATCACTCGCGTCAGCTTCAGCAAGAACTTCATGTTCTTGAACGAGGAGTCAGAGTACGACTACCTGTCGCAGCGGGCCCGATTCTTCGGCGAGAATGACGGCCGTGACGAGAACATGGAGACGCGTGAGGGTCTGACGCTGACGGACGTTGAATTCACGGACGATATGATTTCCTATGCCTACACACCAGATAAGCTTCCTTGGTATTACTCCATGTCCGTCTTCTGGGCCATGTCTTTCATAATGCTCTCCTGGCCGTACAGGCTGATAGTGTCTTACAAAACAGCCGTGGTGGACTACCAAATCGAGAAGCTGTTTGGTACCAACTACTCCACCGGCATGCTGTCAATGGAGCACTGGAACGGGGAGACTATGCATCTAACACGGGTAAGCAATGTTGGCAGCAACTGCAGCCTGGAATCTATGATACGAGGAAACCGCCACGTCGTTCCTAGCTACTCGGAGGCGGTTCTCATGGACCTTGCTAACGGGAACGTCCCCCGGGCTGGTCAGACTCCTAACGGTAACACACCTTTGGCTGCGTCGAGAACAAGGAGCGTCGGTGGAAGTGATGGATTCCTTGCTAACGGAGTGCATGGCGCCGTTACCAATAACAGTGGTTCAAGGAGGAGTAATGTTCGACGACTGTTTTCGTTCGCTAATGCAAAGAGATCAGCCACGGCTCCTCTTCACGGCAGTGGTGTTCTCAGTGGTCGCAGCAGCCCTTCGCTTCGTGCCATTGGCGCGTCGGCTCATTTATTGATAACTAAAGACCGTTTGAAGGGGGCATCAAACGGTCATGCATCACCCATAAGCATCCAGCTAACTCCTACCATCAATGGCATCGGAGGGATACACCTGAGCGGGACAAGCATAACTCCCAAAACACAAATACCCAACGTCAAAGCCGAACAGATGAACAGAGCAGCCGCTAGTGCAGTGTCTCCTAGACAAGAGACATCCTTCGCTGCAAAAGCTGCTACTACGTCTTCTTCCACCGAAGTGCAGACAAACAACACGAAGAAGCGACCGACTTCCTTGCCGCTGTGTGTCAGCAACGCCGAGACCGTCATTGAGAATTGCGTTAACCAGCAATGTTTGCCGTCTTGGGTTGTGGTTGATGAGCACCAGGGAGTACGGACCGTCATCCAGCAACCTCAGGCCACCCAGGCTCCTACGGAGAACCACCTAGTGTCCCACCACCAACCTGCCATGCCAGAGGATCCCCCTCCGGCATACGAAGTAGCACTGGAGATGGAGGTACCACCAATGAGCGCGGATCATGAACGTCCAGTAGAGCCGGAAAATCAGCCACAGCAGTCAAGAATTAACATGGAAACCTCACTCTGACGAACTTTGACTCTATTTTGTACACGTGTTGTAAAACACATTGATTTAAGACGTCTTAATGTGCTTCCATTTTTGCAGCTAAAATGGAACTCCTTTGAGACTGGTCAACACATTTGTATTCTTGTTGAAATAGCAAAGCAGATCATATTCTTCGATAGGTTGTGAACAAGTTCGCATTGTATATGGGGAGAGGGGCTTGACCCTTGACGGCAGCATCTGTCAAGATGCTTTTTCAAGTGTTCTCCACATGATTGTGCCAGACAGAAGATGCAGGAAGATGAGGCGGCCAAAAGGTCTGAGATGTTGGAATAGGGGAACTACTTGCTCAGTGTACCAATAAAAGAGCTCTGTCAAATATTTTTTTATTATTGTTTTTATCGCCAAATTTAGCCCAAGAACAATAGAGCCCCAGAAAAGCTGGATACGAAAAGTGAGTAGCCCAAACAAAACAAGCACAGCGGCGAAACAAAACGAATACTACTAAGAAAATTTTGACGAATAAACGTAAGATTGTAAACTTCGTACAGCCCTGCTATTGCATTCCGCTCTTCAAACCAAAAGTGTCAAATGAGCAGAAGTTCTGACGCTATCAACACTTCAAATTGTGTTGTCGATTATTTTAAAATAACAAAATGTTGAACTTAAAATATGTGAATTATCTTTATAGAGGATAAAGGGTAAACTATCCTAGGAAATGGACACATTTTAGCTATGTTATATTTGACATTTGTGAGAGTACAGCCGCAGTCACTCACTGCGCGCTTAATAATATGTTTAGATCTACATGTAATAGTTTTAGCGTGCTAAAGATATATTTTAAATTAACAATCAGCATGAAAGTCTATCACATCATTTACTCTGTAAAATAAAGAAGTCACCATCAGTCTTTCGTATAGTTGATATCAAGATTCACGCCTACAACTATTGCGACATTCAGTTTAATGTTCCACTCTTATAAACAAACACCAACACAGATACAACATATATTTCCTATATATTTCTAAGGGTTTGATATCCGTTTTAAATGAAGGACACGTTTTTACAGACATACACATAGACAGTTTGTTTTGTACGCAGAAAGGACTTTTCAAATGCCAGGCCACTGGCCTATTCCCGTGCAATGAGTGTTATTTCTCAGTTTTAAGCTGCATCACTTTTGTTCATTAAATTACGTAGTGGGACTGTTCGTCTTAAGACACGTCTTGTTTTTATATATGATCAAGTAAAAATTATTAAAAACGCTAACTTGTCAGTCATTCTAGGGAAATTAAGCAGCTCTTGGAAACTTGGCAAATATTACAAACTTGCATGAAGTTCTCGATCACTTGTTGCATGTATTTAAACACAATGCTGACACACAAAAACACAGGAAGAATTTCAGGAAAAGGAGTTCTTCACCATCAATATTGAAGTTGGATTGTTGTTGTCGAGCGGCACAAGCAAATTTCTAAAAGCAAAGCCAAGTCGATAGTATTGGCATGCTCAACATCACTACAATATGTAATTGCATTCCAATAGTTCTACAATTAATACAATTGTCATTGAAATTATCGTGTAAGTTCTCTTGCCATGGTGAAGTAGTCGAATGAATTAAATCAGTCACTATAATTAGGAATCTTTTAAACTTTATTATGAATGGCCACACTCACAAGGTAGCTGACATTTCAGGAGAGGTGTCTGAATGCAAAGCCTGAAAATGACGGAAGTAGAACAAAGTTACCGTAGGTTTTGATAAATACTCCGTGAATAGTATCTCTTAGGCCTATTGGACATATGTTCGGTTATAGGAATCTATGCAAGTCAGGGAGCAAGACCGGCAATAACGGGAATTAAGAATGACGTTAGCTTACTTTGGTATGGAAAAAACAGGCTTCTACAAAATGGGAATTAAGTACGCCGTTGTTGTTTTGATTGTAATTGATTTTTTTTAATGAATTAAATGTTCCTGATAGGGTGCAAGAGACCAGACGTAGTTGTACGTGTATTTTTGATTAATAGGCCTATGTGTTTATTTTTACAATTTTATTGCAAGTTGTATGGTAACATTCAGTCTGCGTTTGCACTCCATTGTGCGGCTTTCATCTTCCTCTTAAAAATGAGTTTAAGAAAATCAGTAGAAACATTTTCTAATAAACTGGTCCAAAACAGTTTATTACCAACATCAATTGCGTTGCCTATGCAGAGATTCACTGTTTGCTACTTCACTATTTTGTGTTATTTCTTTATTCTTTTCAAATGTTTTTACTTGGAGTTTGAGGAGACACTAATTAATGACAAGAAGAGTTTAAAAGGCGTTTTTTTACCTACGTCTTACCAAGAGACCTGAGGAAAAAAATTGTTTGAATGGATAGATTTCATTATTATCGAGCCCATGTAGCTCAACACAAACCTCGAACCATCCTATATGCAAACTACGGAGGCCTTGTACCCTTGTCTGGCTCCGCCGCCTTTCTAAAATTAAGTTCACATGCAGCTCGCTGTGTTTCTTCTGGCTTATAATTAGCTGTTTTTCCCTTGTCCATACAATCGCTTCAAATGTTAGCCCCAGGCAAAACCCACCTTGGAAAAGAACGAGTGTTTTCATACTCTAGGCAGTTATATTCTTTTCTATCGTATCAATCTGCTTGCAGCATCCGCTGTCAAGCGAACCAAGTGGAAAGGGGAAAATAAGAAAGTCTAGAGTATCAACGCCTTTGCCTCAAGATCAAATTAGCGCAAATCTTCGGCGGGGAAAACTTGTCACAATATTTTTGGAAGGTGTGCAGGGAAGTTTTGTTCTAGAGTACTGCCTGGAGATCTCTATATGGGTCCTCGAAAAAGCGCTGCAGCACAGGCAAGCTGTACGAGAGGGTAACATCGTAATTAAATCAGTCGTGCTGGGAAAGCGGACGAAGAGAGCTAACAAAATTGAAGAAGACGGATCGGCCATCTTGAATCGGATGGCGGATGCCTCGCAGAAGGAAACCACACTGTCGTGGAGAAACAGGAACGCATTTGCCCTCGTCCCACCTCAAAAGTACCATTGATGCTCTTCTTTTACAGCTATAAGTTTTGTCCAAATAATGGAGGGGGGGAGGGAAGACATCAAATAGTTAGAAAAAATGCATAATTACATACATTTATTTATATATCGTATGCATAAATTATATTATTCAGATATATAACAGTAAACAAGAAAGATTATTCTTGTGCACATTTTCTCGAATGAATGAGGTGAAAGAGCTGAAATTTCAAAGTTTATACAAGTCGAGTAAGAGTTTGTCTTGATATTGGCATTTTCTAGCGCTGCGTTACTATTAAAACACGGTCTCGATTCTCACTGCTTCCCTGTGGGTCCACTCGGTCAAGGTCGCGGAGTGCTTGATTAGATGGGGAAAGCTAAAGCAAACAGCAGTTTCGTGGACTAAATCCCGCGGTCGAGGTTAATTTCCAGTGACACTTGGCTTTGCTCAGATCGATTCTACCTTTCCCCCATCTTTTCGCAGCCACTGGAGCGGGAAAATAAACTAATTCCTTTGGCCTTGCAGCATGCTGCATGGACACTTCTGACGGGGCAGAAGAAAAAATGGCATGCCGCCTGACGGACGAATTCAGGCAATTTTTGCGAGGCAGAAATGGATAGTTGCCCGCCAACTACCACAGGAATGTACATGTATTGATTTTTGTGTCGAGGTTCCTTCGCATTCCCCAACCTCGTCTAATCTTTTTATAAGATTTGATAGCTGAGACGAAAGAAAAATCAGTGCATTTATACCAGATTCGTAATATTCAGAACCGAACCTTTGCGTTTAAATTGTTTGTAGTTTTATAATTTTTTTTTCAGTTTACTTGTGTGTGGGAACACTTAAATTAAAATAATTTTGATAACCATTGCCAGTTTTGTCTTTGTTTTGTATAACTTCGGTACTTTTGGAGAGATGGCGAACGTTCCTTCCTCCTCACAAACGACCTCATAAGAAAGCAGAATTCTTGAAACCTTGAAAAACGGTAATGTATCTGCTCAAAAGGTGCGTTTTTGGTGCACTACGGTATCCCATTTTGTGACACATATTAGGATGCGCTTAGGCAGAGTTTGAGCGGCTTGTTCTCGTACGTTCACGAACAGCTCGTTTATTGCTCTTTGGTCAGCCGCTCGAACGCCAGGAACGTACCATCATTTGTCAATAAAGCAACATGAGGCTTGGAGGCATCCATGTTCTGTTTCAAAGTTAATATTTGAATTTTTAGGCTGCCCCCTCTCCTATTTAAAAGGAACATTTATTTCTGTGTGATGGAAAATTACTAACATTATGTTTACAAACCTTCCGCATCGTCTTCAGATTTGTCGGCCATCTTGCTATTTTGCAACTCGCTATTAAATCGAAATGCTGTATGTTTTTCCCTGCGTTCGTGCAAAACCCTGACGAAGAGACGATGTGTGATCCTGTTCCGAGAATAGTGTTCTTGAGTCGGGTTTCCCCCGTTGAATTCGTGCTCGAGAAAAAGAAACCCACGTCAAGAACAGCTACCGTCTGAACTCGACCTTAGAGTAAGGTTTGAACATGAGCTTCAGGAACGAACGAGAGAGTGTGTACTCTTAACTAACATCTCCCTTTGGGCTAATCATTTTCAATGTTCTGTTTTTAATGCACGCGTACAAGGTTGGCAGGCGTAGACTGTCCCCGGTCCGCCATCATTGCCGATTGGCACATATTTTCTGCTGTTCACTGTACAGTTTGAAATACGGAGATGACATTACATACAGCAATTGGCCGCGTGAATGATTGACAAAGAAAATTTAAAATAGGAAATTGCTGTTAGGAATGTAAGGAGAGTTGGACGTGCCGTCGCAGGATAAGGGATGCCTTTGCGGTTGTTTCTCTCTTTACCAGTGCTACAGAAAACTGCATTAGACTATCCTATTACAAATGTACCGGTATCTAATTTCCGATGGACTGCAAGTTAAAAGCACATCAAGTCAGAAAAATCGATATTCTTGAGCCTGATATGGCGAAAAGGCTTTTGAATAATGAATTAATGATTTTAGGCCTATATGGCTTCTTACATTCATTAGGCACGAAAACTACTTGTGAGGTACACACGTAATGATTTTGTTGGATTTTAAAAATACATGCATAAGTTACAAGTTTGCTGATGACATTAAAAAAAAGCATAAAAATAAGTGTTGAAACTGAAATTCATTTGTCAAAGTCATTTTATTAAATGTTCTCCATCATGCAATCATGTATGCACCCTGTATCCTACTGCGAGGCATCGGAGATTGCAATAAAGATAAAGGGAACCGCAGTAGTTTAACCTCAGGGTGGTGCAACAGAAACGCATGATGACGAATAGATCTGATAGCTAGGACTAAAACGCCCGCGCCAAGGACTCAACTTTATTGGCAAGCAGAGGCGTTACTATCTGCCTGCAAGACGGCAGGTAGTGTTATCCTGGGGTGACAATGTCACCTTCTCCTCCTGTTGCTCCAAGAAGTGAACTGATGATGGTGCCTGGATCATCCATTAACGTGCCCAGTGTCCCCCCCTCCCATTTTCTCTCCGTTCACGCCAGCTCGATTCATCGAGCCGTGCATGCTGGTCATGTATGTGTTCCAGGAAGTATCTAATAGACCACCCAAGCGTACCCCCGACCCATCGAGTATTATTGCCAAGACCCTCACTTCTGAACTACCGCGCCAACAATTATAGCTATGGCTATCGCGAACAGCTTGGTAAATAATGGTACGCCCAACGGAGCATTAGGCACACACCACGTCCTCACATCGAAGGCTCACGTTTCACATTTTGAACCATTCAGGGACATTTATTATGAAATTGCTTGTATTTGGGCGTGCACTGAATTTAATCTGACCTGCGGTATGACGGCATCCCACAAAACTATTACACTAGCGCAAACACGAACGCACAAAAGTAGTGATCAAACTGAAATATGAATTAACTGGCATATAATGCATCCATTAATCATGCAATTACTTTACTGATAATGGTTTAATATCTACGTTTTGTGAACAAGCTGTGAGGAGAAACTTAATATGTGAACTTGTTTGCGATGCGCCAGTGGGTTTCGAAAAAAAAAACAATACATGGGTGGATCTAGGATTCAGGGTACCGTACATTGTGGTCCTCCATCCTGTTCCATTTTCTGGAGGCTCTTTGAATAACACAAGGAGAACCCTTCGATGTAAATAATTGTTCTTTAATGAATTAAGTGTCCTTGGTAGGGTATAACAGACCGGACGTAATTGTACGTGTATTCATTATTGATAACAAAACGTTGCAAGTCGTATGATACACTCAGTCTAAATTTGCATTCCACATACGACTGCGCGGCTTTCATTTTCCTTTAAAAATCTTGTCAAGAAACTTTTCCAGTAGAAACATTTCCCAATAAACTGGCCCAAAACAATGGAATAAAAATAGACAATGAATTGCGTTGTCTAAACAGAAGTTTCACTGTTTGTAACTTCAAGTCAAAGCTGTCCCTTTTGATTATGTCAAGATATTTTCAATATATTTTGGAATATGTCTAATTATTTAAAGATATCTTGTAAAACCTTGGACATTTTAGAAGCCTTTGATTGATGAGTTTAAGATATCGTAAAATCCATCTGGAGGCCACGCTGATGTTCAGCTTCAAGCAATAGAGCCTGAAAGTTGACCCCTGATTGCACGCTTCCGGAACCTTTCGATAGGAAATATAACATGCAGAGATTTTGTAATATTTTTTCGTTCAGTTAGTTCCAACTCGGAAAAGGGACTTTGGAATATAATTGCTAGTATATCAATACACGAAGAACAGTGAAATGCGGCAGTCTCGCACGCAGATGAACATTTTCGGTTTGAAATTTCATGGTAGTCCGGCGGTAAAAGCCGAAATAAAAACAGATCAAAATATAAAAATACACAATCTTACAATTTATAAGCAATAAACTTAAAGCAGCATTCTACTTCATTTACGAAAGACTC